ACAGCCTCCGTGCTTTGATATGTCATTCAAAATATCTATTGAGGAAGATATTGTAGCTTACCCCTAAGATAGTAATTTTTTTTTTTGTATATTTTACAACTTGAGTACATTAAGAATTTATTCATAAAACTTGACAATAAAAAGAATTTATGTTGACTCATTTTCTTTCTTTCATATACGTACTGACGCACTGTATGCAGTATATGTATATACTTACCGATACTTCGATACTCGAGGATTGTAACATAGCGTTTTCTTGCCCTGCGACGAGTACGGTGTCACGGCCATGGTGGTCCTGAAGCAACGCACAGAGCCACCTTAATTACTTACCGATGGTCACGCTTGAAACGATGCGAATGGTACTGCACCTAAATCTGCTTAACGATGCTTGCAGCTTGGCCAAACCAAGTTCTGCTCCTGGAGACTCTCACCTATAGGTCCTGTCGAAGGTAGCCCGTCGGGAATCAAGCTACTGTATTAGGGAGAAACGATCGGCGTGACCTAAAAACATTGTTGTCGGAAAAGGGCATGCACTTGATACACAAAGAAAGTGGCGGCGGCGGATTTGTCCTCGAAAATAAGAATCTCTTTATTTAACACCAGGATCACATACACGGGCATCTAGGCTCGGGGATCTCGGCGTGATACGGTGCAACGCACGTGGCACGATAATCATGCTTTTCTCTCCCTCTCTCTCTCTCTTTTTTTGTCTCTTGCTCTCCTCTTCTCGCGCTTTTGGGGGCCGGCTCGTCCAGCTCACCCGGGCACTACACCCTCAACGCACACACACATACGCTCACGTACGATTTTCACTAGGACCCTACGTGGCTACTTTATCTCTGGGTGCACCGTCGCTGGATGCCCTCAATTTTTCCTCGCTGACGGGGACCTTATCGAAGTCAGCCCTTGTCCTCGGTGTCGTCGGCGTCCCTCAGCTTGTTCGTCGGCAGGTCAAGGTTCTGGCACTGGCTGGTGAAAGTGCTGGCCGGGATCGTAACAGCAGGCACGAGATTGGGGTAGCTTGGCAAAAGGTCGTAGTTGGCTTCTTCTTCTCTTTCTCTGGAGCTCTGGTTCGCGCGATTGATACTTCAAAAGTGATGCGTTAGGCCCACGAATTAGTACAGTTGCGTTATCGCACTATATTTATGTACCGAATTTTATCGACAGAACATGATTCACACTCGAACGGGACGCAATTTATAGTGCATACGCTTAATACAGATATATACATATACATTTATGTATGTATATATATATATACATACACTCCTCGTCGATAAAGCAACACTGGATTGCTACATTGCCGTGGTAATTGCAAGTATTTTATAATACGCAATTACACAGATAGACACTCATATACTAGGACTATACATTCCTTGACTTTCTTTCGGTGCTATGTACTTTTCGTACTTTTCGGTAATTTTGCGATACAGCACTTAATATTGATAAATCTGGAAAAGGGAAATTCTTAAAACTCAATATTATTATATGCACTAAGTAATAATATTAACTGTCTTCACATTATCAGTGGCAAGCAGCATGTGATAATAAATTTTCCCTAAATTTCCGTACACTTCGGTCATTTTTGCGATGTAGCGCTTGATATTTATAATATCAGAACATAAAAGTTGTTAAACCTTTTTCCTATTATATGTGCTAAGTAATAATAATAAATGTGTAGGCATTATTAGTGGCGTGCAGCTTATGATACTAAAGTTTCTTCAAATTTTAAGCTTCTTCCGGACATTTTCGCAATATAGCACATAATATAAAAAATTGCGAAAGAAGAAAATTGTTTAAACCAATAACTATGATAGAAATCAAATAATATTACTAAGTGTCTATGCCTTATTAGTGGCGTGCAGCCCGTATTGCTGTATTCACTCCAAATTTCTGTACCTTTCGGCCTTTTATTACGATATGAAACTTGAAATTAATAATTCCCAAAGACGACAATTGTTAAAACTTATTACTTTTACATGTTTAAAGTAATAATAATAAATGTCTATGCATTATTAGTGGCATGCACCTTGTAATGCTGTATTTACCCTAAACTTTATAAAATCGTAGGAACAAATAACTTTTATAGAAACTAAGTAATATTACAAAGTGTCTAGGCATTATGAGCTGCGTGCCACTTTTGATGGTAAGTTTTTTCAGAATTTCCATACTTTTTGGTCATTTTCTGTGGTATAGCACTTGAAATAAGGAATTCTGGGAGACGAATATAGTTGAATCTTGACTAGTTTATATGTACTAAGTAGTATTATTCAATTCTAGGCATCATCAGTCGCGTGCAGCAAGTGCTCATAAATTTTTTATTATTTTCTGTATGTTTCAGTTATTTTTTGAAATACAACTTTTGAATTCAATTATTTCGGAAGACAAAAGTTGTTAAAACTTAACACTTTCTTATGTTTTAAGTAAAATTAATAAATGTTTGGGCATTATCAGGGACGTGCAGCTTGTAATAATAATTATTGTTTAGGCTTTATAAGTGAACAGCAGCGGATGATATCGGATTTTCGCCTAAATTTCCGTACTTTTCGGTTGTATTTTGCGATACAACACTTAAAAGTTATCATTCCGGAGAACAAAAATTTGTTGAAACTTATCACTTTTATACGTATTTAGTAATATTATCTAATTTCTAGGCATTATCAGTAGTAAACAGCTTGTGACAATAAATTTTTCTTTAATTTTTGTATTCTTCCGTAATTTTTGCGATATAACACTGAATATTGAGATTTCCAAACGAAAAATATTGTTCAGAATTTTTAATATAATATGTACTTAGTATAAGTAAAGGTTATCGAAGCATTATCAGTGCGCGCAGCTTGTGATAATAAATTTTCCCGTACTTTCTGTATTGTTTGGGCATTTTTGCGATATACCACTTAAAGTTAAGAATCGTGGAAGACCAAAAAATTTTTTAACTTATTCCTGTTATAAGTACTAAGTAAAATTCGTATATGTTTATGCATTATTAGTGGCGTGCAGCTCGTGACAATGAATTTTCCCCAACGTTTTTCGTTTTTTTTTTTATTTTTGTAATATAACAATTGAAATTAATAATTCCGGAAGTTTTAAATCGTGAGAACAAATTACTATTATAAAAACTTTACAACATTACCAAGTGTTTAAATACTATACTATGAACAGCAGCTAGTGATAACGAAATTTCTCTAAATTCTCGTACTTCTAGTAATTTTTGCGATATAACACTTAAAACTAACAATTTCGAAACACGAGAATTGTTAAAACTCATAACTTTTATATGTACTAATAGTGATTATTAAATGTCTAGGTATCATCAGGGGTGTGCAACTTGTGATAATAAATTTTCCCTAACTTTTAGTACTGTTTAGTTATTTTATCGATATAACACTGAATATTAAGAATTCTAGAAGCCAAAAATTGTTGGAACTAATAATTTTTATAGCCACAAAATAATATTACCACGTTTCTAGGCATTATCAGTTGCATGCAGCTAGTAATGCTGTATTTACCTTTAATTTCCATACTTTTCGGTTATTTTAGCGATATAGCACCTAATATTAATTACTGTGGACGACGAAAATTGTTGAAACTAGTGAATATCATGGAAACCAATCAATGTTACTAAGTGTCCCGTTATTATTAGTGGCGTTCAGCTCGTGTTCCTGTATTTACTTCAAATTTTCGTACTTTTCCGTCTTTTTTGCGATATAACACTTGAAATCAAGAATTCTGAAAGTCAAAAATTGTTGAAACTCATTAGTTTTATAAGTTTGAAGTAATGTTAATAAATGCTTATGGATTATTAGTAATCCGCATCACATAATTCTGTATTTATTCTAAATTTCCATACTTAATGGTAATTTTTGCGATGTAGCTATGCATTATTAGTTGCGAGCAGCTTGTGATTATAATTTTCCCAATTTTTTTGTTTTTTTGTCTTTTTTTGCGAAATAACACTTATAATTAATAATTCCGAAAGATTAAAATGATTGGAACAAATCACTGTTATAAAAACTTTATATCATTACCTAGTGTCTAGGTATTGTACAATCCAAAGCAGCTAGTGGTAATAAATTTTTTAAAAATTTGTGTACTTTTTAGTCATTTTTTGCGATATAACACTTAAATCTAATAATTCTGAAACACTCTTTCATTTCGAGAAGGGTACTAATTTTTATGATCTAAAAATTGTTAGGTGCCTCCCATATTACTTGTTAAAGCTTTTAAAGCATTTTAGTTAAAAAAAAAAAAAAAAAATTTTTTATTATTTTTGTTGCATGCAACGGTTGCCAACTCTAGAGTCATGTACTGATGAAAATATCATTAAATAGTATAAAAATTCTAAAACTATTGAAATATCTCGATGTGTTCTCTCGAGGATCTCTTTTAGTGAGATACACGTTTATATGAATACTAAAAGTTTTAAAGAATCAATAGTTTACTGATTGTTTAGGATTTGCTGTTTATAAAAATGCCAAAAATAAGCTGAAGGATGAGCTGCAAAGACATAAAAAGTAAAAAAAACTGTCTGATGGGTCAGCAAACTAAATCGTGTTAACATTTTTCTATAATTGTCATAGTCTTAGTATTTTAGTTTATAATTTTGTTATTATGTAACTTTACTTTTTAGATTAAGAACAAGATAGTAATAGATTTTAATACAATACTGTACTCGCTACATAAAGGAGATTTTAGAAACGATTGAATTTCATAATTTGTCTCTCTTGTTTTCATATGGGATGTGTCTGCCAACCGAAGCTTTATTTTTTGTTACATCTGAGTTTAAGAGGTTCTCTACCGTTTGCCTTGTCTGATTGCCACAGTAGGTCCTTGCTAACCAATTAGGTAACCTACAGACGGATTACCGACTTCCACTTTACGATTTCTTATTGGAAATTACGATTGTTTTCGATAAAATTTTATTTAGGAAAGGATTTGTTATTTCTATAAACTAGGAAGTGATATTAAGTGTACTGCTTACTGATTTATTTTTTTTCCAGAAATAGATGTTGAATTTCATATTTTAGAGAGTGCAACATGTCATGGTTTGGCGTTTTGGTTTGACGTAGCTTTTATTGGTTCTTCACAAGAAGTATGGCTAAGCACTTCACCAACAGAACCGCTTACTCATTGGTATCAAGTTCGCTGTTTACTTGAAAAACCGTTATTCTGCAAGAGCGGACAACTATTACTGGGTAGAGTGAATTTAAGCGCTAATAAAAGGTGAGAACTTTTTAATTACGTATTGATTACTAACCTTTTGTTAATTATTTTAAAAAACGATCTTCGTAAATTTACTTGATTAAAAAGTGTAAAATCAAGATTTATATTGCAGTACGTATGCTTACTGATTTTTATCACAATTAATTTTTTAGACTTGGGACGTACTAAAGTGAATTTTTTAACGTTTTAGAGGATTTAAGACCAAGTAAATTCAAAGTTTTTTTTTTATGTGACTTATATACACTAGTGGGGCTGACGCCCCCCTGCATGCTCTACGGGCCAACCCCCCACTAACAAATTGAGTAGACAAAATAACAACATTACTCGTGTAATTATCAATGCAGGCTGAGAATAATTTCACAACAGCAGAATCCGTGACTCACAAAGGAGTTGATAAAACAGATGACAACATAAATATTAATTTTCCAATAGAATTGTTAAATAATATCGGAGAAGGTGTCCCACCATACAAATTAAAATTAAAAATAAATGCTATAGTAATGGTAATAAGAACTTTAAGTATGTCAGACGGTCTCTGTAGAGGCACAAGATTAAAAATAACAATACTATTTAAGTATAACATAGAAACAGAAATAATTATGGGAAAAAAAAGCAAAGTTTATATTCCTAGAATAACATTGAATACTGGCACCTTATTATCATTACCTTTTGTCTGCTATAGAAAACAGTTTCCCTTTGTATTAGCATGTTCTATATTTATTAAAAAATCAGAAAAACAGAGTTTTGATTCTTTAGGATTGTATATTAAAAAACCTTTATTCTCTTACGGACAATTATACGTTGCTTTATTAAGATGTAAGAATCCAAAAAGAATTTTTATTCAAATTGCATCCGAGAATAAATCAGAAATTAAAAATATTGTTTAGCTAGAAATTTTTCAGTAATTCAAAAATATGTAACTTTGAAGATCGTCACATTAAAACAGACGTATGTTAATTCATAAAAACCATGAAAAACAAATATGTGAAAAATGTGGAAAGGGTTTTAAAAGAACAGATGGGTTAAAATGACACATAAAATGTCACAACATTAAGCTAACAGAATGAATTATTGTTTTAAAAGCTTAATTATGTTTGTCTATTTAATTATACCTTCTCCTGAATTTTGTCTTTTTGTAAATAAAGTCCTCAGTTAATCAAGAATTTTATAATTGGGTAAAGTACACATGGACCAGAAAGAGATTCCAAAAGTAAAAGTTCAATCAAGTTATACAAATAATGGTCCTTCAGAGACATATAGTGAGTAAGGGGGAGAGAATAGGTAGAGGAAGACCTATGGTCAGTGACTTAAAAAACCCTAAAAACAAGTGACTCAACTCAAGTCGTAGTAAACATGTTTTTAAAAAAAAGACTTTTTTTTCATTCTTCATAATATGCGTTAATTACATTAGGCTGTGGTAATTAAAAATTTTCTTAAGTCTTCTTGAAATTATTATGTAGTTGCACTGTGTGGGTCGTTAGTTTTTTCTTTAATAATTTACCACGCTTTTATCAATGTAAGATGCAGAGTTGGCGTTTGTATCACTAGTTATTGTAATAAAAATATCGTAAGTTACATAATCAATATGTATATCCTTACTAATATACTTATTAGTTGGCTTTGTACAGTTTTTTTGATAAAAATTTATTTTTAATGCACCAAATAGGAAATCATTGTAATAACTTTGCCTAAAGATGGTTGGAGAACGTGCAATAATAAGACACTGTTTACTTGTATTTTCCATTCTGATAACTTTTTTAATCCTTACATTTCTTCCGTGATAATATAAGAAGCATTCTTTAACTCTACTCGATTGTAAATATAATGATATAATATTAATAGACCAGGAAAAGAAGACGCTTTAACCTCTCTTTTAAAAAAAATTGCAGAAGTGAGTTTGCCATCTGTTTTGGCACGTTTTTGCAGTAAGTGTCCATAATTAATTGTTTTGAACATTTGAATTTATTAAAAAAATTGTTTTTGAGCCCAACAACGGCATGAAAAACTACTTTTCTGATCGTGATTTTTTTCCTGATGGGTTCATTCAATAATATCTAGTATAAAAACTGTAGGTATCTACAAAACGAGGCACGATTGTAAATAATCAGATAATTAGTTTAGTNTATTTAATGAAACCCCCGCCACATAATGTTGCGAGTTACAAGAAAATAAAAAAAAGTGGTACAAAATTGTTTGTATAGAAGTTTATGAGAAAGAAAAATGTTTTAGAAAGAAGATTGAAATTAATTAATGATTGAATACAAAATAACCATATTTTTAACGAATTAAATACTGAGTTATTAGAAGATAAAATTAATAATTTTTAATATTAAAACAAATTATGTAGGAGGGATAGTCCATTCTCTTTACTCAACCCATTAAGACCTCCTAGCCCCTTCCTTAAAATAAAACAAAAATTTTTTCCCTCAGTAAAGTGGCTTTATATATTTTTTGACCGCCATCTTAAATCCCCCTTGCTGCCCCTTGGGAAAAACTCACATTGTTTGAGCCCCCTTCGCCATTCTCAAAATAACAAAATTCTATTCATTCTTTTCCCCCCCACACACTTTTGTGTCCCCTCTTTTCCCTGTCCCCCTCAAAAGAAAACTATCTGCTACCCTCACATTTTTTATTTTCGTTACGCAAGTCATCGCTATTTCTTGCTTGTAAAAAGGAGCTAAAGTTTCCTTTATTTCTATGTAAATAAACACAATAAATGTATATTTTTATCTTCCTTCTCACGCCTTCTATAAGGTAAATAGACAGGTGCGTTGATCTTTTTTTGTTGTCATCATGTAGATTATTCTATGAAGTAGTTTTAATGCAATCATATGCATGTGTAATCATATGCATGACGTTCGTGTGAAATAATTTATTTTATATTATGGTAGAATAATAACAACCCTAAACGTTATCGCTAATCGTTTTTTTGCAAAACCATAAAGTAAAGCCCTAATCAAAAAATGACTAGAGTAATTAAATTTTTCTATGGGAGAGCACATTTTAATAGTAACGTAAACAGCCAATTAGCCCTCAAAACTACAAGCACACAAAGCTTCAAAGTAATAACATCATGACATGTAGTAATATGAAATTTGGTTAAAATATTCATATGTTGGAAAATTATTCTAATGCTGGTAAATAAGTTAGAAATGAGTAATGACTCTTAGAGGTATACAAGCAGTATTAATACATTTATCATCGTATCAACTGGCGTGTATGTAGATGGTGGCACTTTTGTATAATCACGCTTTCAAACCATCCTTGCCCTTTTCGATAGCAAATATACTAAAGACTCACAATTGAAATTCACATTATTTCTATTTCAAGAAAATTTCTTAAGAAACAAGTAAGAACGAGAAAAATATGCTGCCTGGATGTGGATCGAACACACAACCTTCTGTTTACCAGACAGTTGCTCTACCCCTTGAGCTACCGAAAAGGACATGGATGGTTTTAAATAGTGCTTATATAAAAGTGCTTTTATAAAATTTAAACTTCTAACATTCGTATAATTTCAATAACTTTTTCTTATTTTTTGTAAAAAATAAAACTGCATGTAAAAAACGAGTTAAATTCACCTATGATTAAATAATGTAATACTTATTTTTACAAAATATTCTTCCTGTTCAGTGACGACTTGCGTAAATACAAAAAATTTTTATTTTTATTCCATTGAACATTTTATTAATTTTTTTTATGATAAAATTTTAAGACTCTTAAAAGAGTCGTACTTTACGAAAGTCGTCACCCAACAAAGCTGACTGTGTACTTCGTAGCTCTTGGAAATGTCAAGTGATAACGGAAGCGAGCCACGAAGCCTAAACACATAAAGTCAGCAAGTAACGGCCCCATAGCAAGTAAGATAAAGAAGTTTAACTGAAACTTCGTTCAAGGTGCATTTCTTTGAGTGGTGTTTTAGTTAGTAGCCCGCTGCCGTTCATCGAGTGCAGTACTTCATTAAACAGGTAGCTTGCTAAACACTTTTGTTAGAAAGTGGCTGACTGTTTTTTTCCTCATCTTTTTTTATGATTAATTTGTATCTAAATTGAATAGAAATGAATCAATTAACAACAAATGGAATAAAGTGAAAGTGAATAAAATTAATAAACTGATTTACCTGAAGTGGCTATAAATAAATAGAGAAAAGAACCACTAATTATAATCGACGGATTGACAGCAACGAAGTAAAATACAACCAAGGAGAATAAAACTACGTATCTGATCTTTTATCATTCTAATACACACACATATATGTATATATGTATAAATAAATCAAAAATTACATTACCCTAAGCAAAGTAAACAACCGAATAGTTAGACATACTGCTGGTCTCGCGGCCCGTTAAGAAGCGTGAGACAAGTCCCCAAACATCTAGCTTTCACTGGATGATAAAGTTAAATAATAACGATTCATCATTTAACAAAAATTGGTAGCAGAACGTGGTTTATGGTCTCCAGCTATTTGTTTGTTTACTACAAGTTCTCTTAGTGCTGTTTTTAAAGAAACAATAAACACCGTTTAAAGAAGCATGTTCACTAAGGATGCGTAACACTCCATATAGTGCAGTGTTCGTGGACGCGTAAATGCTGTGCCTGTGTTGAGAGCTCGGTACATGCAATACTTGGTTATAATTTAAAAAACAGAAGTCCGTAAAAGAAAATTATAAATAATAATACATTAATAAATAAAAAGTATAGTAAACAAGAAAGGTTACTGTTATAAAATAAAATTTAAAAAAGTAAAGTGAAAAATAAAGTAACATTGTGTTTTAAATAACAGTAGAAAAATAAAAATAGTGATATCTTATACTACACACTTGTGGGACAGAACAAATACACAATTTTTATCCTGAACCTGTTAACCGTAGTGGTTTATCCCTTTAGTCCCGCTTCAGCAGCGACTATTCTATATCCAAGATGTGCTAACCAAAGCGGTCTTTCTTATCCTATCCTGAACCTGCTAACCAGAGTGGCTTATCTTCATTAGTCCTGCTGAA